CGATATTCAAAATTGCCTGTCAAAGTTCAATAATCACAGCTAAACAAAACTGTCATATGACTCTCTTTTTTGCACCACCAATGAATTTCCAAATTTCCAGCACGCAAACTAACCTGTAAATTACTTTGAGGATGAGCATACCCGCGGTCACCTTTAGGGCCAGGTGGTCCCATGGGACCTATAGAACCAGCTTCACCTTTTTCACCGCGTTCACCTTTCATTCCAGGAGTCCCCTAAAATATATTTTTCAACGTAGCTTTGATATATTAATAAATCACTGCATAAGTATTTAAAAACCTACAGGCATCCCTTTAGCGCCATCGAGTCCAATGGGTCCCTATAATCAAATCTTACATTAGTTTGTCAAGAGCAAGTTCTAGCAATGAAATTAATTCAAATGATGTATATAGGTAAGTGTAGTTTATTATTTTTTATACAACCGTTCGCAATCAATAAAAAATTGCTTTTTCAAACAGGTAATATAGTTACGTAAGTCGGTTTCCAAAAATTAACTTCCAGAAGATGTCAGTAAAAAAAAATGAGTTTCTTAGGCAATATTAAAACGTAACTTTAAAACCTTTTCTAACTAATTATCACCTCCATTGACTCAGCTAAAACTACTACCTTCATTTGCTGTAGGATCATCTTTAAATGTTTATTGGTTCACTCTGCACTTTTTCTTTCAAAATCAATAATCCATTATTTGTAAAAAGAAGTTGGCCATAATAACTCAAAGAAAACAATGAAAAAAAAAACAGAAAAAGGAAAAAGAAATGCTTAAAATCAATTATAAAGGTAAATTTACCGGAAAGCCTGGGTAGCCGCGTACACCCTTCGGCCCCTAAAAAACTAGCTCCAGAAAAAAAATACAACTAACAAAGGCAACAATTAATAAAACATTTTACCAGATATTTTACAAAAAAAAAAAAAAAAAAAAAAAAAACGAAAGCAAAATCAACACACAAAAGAGTTATTAAAAAAAAATAAACAAAAAAACTGAAAAAAAAAAAAGAATTAAAAATAAGGATGTGAAATGGATAATTAACAAGTCAAGCAATAAGTCGACAACCACAAACATACAGGAGGTCCAGGTGGACCTGGAACTCCCCGAATTTGGATAGCATGTCCGTCCGGTGTGTACAAAAACTTCATCGATTTTAGCTGGTGTCTAGTGTAATGATCCAAGTGCTGTAAGGTTTTTTGTACACAATATTAGATCACCAGGGTAGACAAGAAAAAGTAAGTAAAACAAGAAAGATCAAACCAAAAAAAAACGCAAACCGATTAACATGCTTTATCTTTAATAAAACATGCAGAAAATGACAGCAAAAACTAATTAAAAAATAAAAAAACTGCAAGAAACAGTTGTAAATATTTAATCGTATATCCTTTTTGTTCCATTGACATCTTTCAAATCGGTAGGTTAACCAGAAGGGTTTTTTTTCCTTTGTTTACTTCAACTAATCACCAACAAACACCAATCACTTTTCTAACTACATTCAATTAATAAAAAATGCTCCTTTCTTTGTTTTTTTTTCCTACAAAGCACATCACCAAAACGTTACTGTAACGAAAGGAACAACCATAACTAATGTGCTGACAAAAAACGTTGACAAAAATTGTACGGCACAATAACGGTGATGAACTGAAGCGAGGAAACAGATGGCGGCAGAAAAGTGACATAACAAGCAACTTACCAATTTACCTGGTGTTCCTGGTTCTCCTTTTTGACCTAAAAAAAATACATTTTTACAACAGACGTAACAAATAAGTTGCAAAATCAACTCTTTCTTTACTAAATTTAAAAAACTTCTTTTTTTTTTTCAATGCTTTACAATGTGATACGGTAACTGAAAAAATGAGGTGAAAGAGGCGAGGAGGAGGTGGAGGGTGGAAAACCAAAATAACTACAGTATTGATATATATGTATATGCTAAACAGATCATTGATCTGAATGCTCTTTTGATAAGCTGTTTGCCGTTGCCAAAACACAGATTATTAATTACACATTCCTTTCTGCTTTGCTCTTCTTCGCCTTTCCTCCACCTCTCCTTCCACCGCAACTCTCCCACTTCTGCAGCTATCAGAAAAAAGTAATTGCTGTATTAGCAGTTGATGCATTGTTGACAGTACAGTTGGTAGTTTTTTTTAAATTCTTCGACAATAAATCTAATGATTCTTTTCAGACCAACCGCTAAAGTTGCTCAGCCAACTGAACGGTTTCAGATGCAGTTTAAAACTGTTCCCAACGAATAGGAAAACCACAATGCTTACTGAGTTGTTTCGGTTATTTTGAGAGAAGAAAAAAAGAAGCGAAAAAAATTCAATATAATGGCCATCATACAGTTTGCACCGTTTAACCATTAAATTCTATAGATTTGGTTTTTTACGCCAAATGTATGCTTCTTTTTCCTTTGGTTTTTTCCTACTGCTGTTTATTTATTTATTTATTTGTTTTTCGGTTCTCGATTTTTCACAAAACACATTGAAGTGATTAATTTTTTTTCTTTGCTTCACATTTCTCTCTTCATTTTTTTCTTCTGGCCAAAAAACCGTGATGATACACTCCAACAATAATAATACTCACTATTATTACCGTTATCGTCATCACTATTATCATCATTATTAGTATTAATTTTAACATTTTAAAATTTGAATTAACATAACATCCATTGGCTAAACAAAAAAATTAAACAAATTTTTTCTACTTTCATTGTTAAAATTTTTTATTTTCATATTTGACTCTTTTCTTCGCACATTTTTTTTCTTTTTTTCCATACAACACTCAAACAGCGTTGTTGCAATGAAACGCTGTTGCATTTTGGCGTTCATCTGCGATTGTTACCACAACAAAAATTTTATAATTCAACAATAACAAAAAAAATTGAATTGACCTATAAGACTGAAAAAAAAATAAAAATAACAAATTATATTTCCTTCATCATTATTTCGACTCTCTATCAACGGATTTTTTAAAAAGAAAGAAAACATAACGGAAAGGAAACCGTCTTATTAACGTCTTTCTTTCTTCCTCTTCTTCTTCATTTTCCCCTCTTTTTTCTTCTAACGTTATGTTGAATGCAACACAAAAAAAGCTATTAAAAAGTCGAAAATTAATCAAAATTTGTCGGCTGCTAAACAAAATGCCACCACTGCACCCTTCATCAAACAGAAACATTCAACAGTTACTATTCAATGTACGCCTACAGTACGTGTAATCCGAAAAAAAATATTATCTTTAATCACCAAGACAATAAAGTATTCCAACAAGTATTCATCTTCTAAGATCAGTGACAGTCAAAAATCATTAAAATAACCGATGCCAAAAACGGTAGCTTAAAAAAATAATATTTACATAGATATATGGGCCATTCCACGCCAAATCGCACAACTTTGAAC